GGAGGGAGGGGAGGTGGGGCAGGCAGGGGGCAGGAGCCCCTGCGCCAGTGGCTGGAGGAGGAGGCTGCGGTTGCAGAGGGAGACTTTACTTGGTTGGCCCCAAACGGTGAGTGGGGGGCAAAGGGGAGCCATGTAAACACTCCCTGAACTCCATCATTCCTTATGGGTATTTAGCTAGTATATGTAATAATTATATTCATAATAATCTGGTTAAAGCAAAGAATTTCTTATTTTAACTTAAAGCGCTTGGTTTAGCATTTATGGTTCATCCACAGGAATAAAGTCCTTATGGAAAAAACAAGAAAATCAGTGAGCTACAGTACTCGGATTCACTGTTGTACACAGTGTCTGTACAAAATTGCCCTGGTAAGTGTAACATCTTACTTGCATGAAGGTGACATTAAATTGTTTTATATAGTATCTCATTAGTGGTAACTCCAGTGATATTTTGTGTTACCACTCTTTGACTTATTGGCAAGTAGCCAGCACATGGTAATGGTATCATTAATATTGATCTATATTAAGGTAACATTTAAAAAATTATGTCAAGGAGTGTTGTGTTACAAGTGAGAAGAAAGTGGAAGGAAAGAATGTCCTATCTTAAAAAATATAAATGTAAGAAATTCAGGACTATATTGTGTAACTTAAATTGATTACTATACTGTATATCAAGGATCATAGAGGACTGCATGCTAACAATCTCTTTTGCTCTCCCCTCTTCTTCTAATGCTAGTCTTATCGACGATTTAGAAATGGCCTGTCAGAACTTTTTCAGTCATTACAGCTATGGCAGAAGACACTGAAAATTATTGGTGGCAAATTTGGGACCAGTGTCCTTTCCTATTTTGTGTTTTTAACTTGGCTACTGACTTTTAACATCTTCTCGTTCCTTGTGAACTTCAGCTTCATAACAATCCCTCAGCTCATAGCAGCAGGATCAAATAATCTTTCATTCACGGGCCTGGAGCTTCTCACTGGAGCTGTAAGTATGTAGAGACACCTACATTAGTTGTGTGTGTACAGCACATCTGATTGCATACAGTCAAAGCACTAAGCATTTTTTAGTAACAGCTAGATGAAGTTGTGGAAGCTTTGATTTTGCTCGTAAATTCTTCTGGTCACTGATTTTAAATCAAATCCATATGTACATATTGAACAGGATAATCAACTAATAACTGCATTGTCATGCAAATGAAATTAATTGATTTTTGTTTGAATTGTACCTGACATCACTGCTTTTGGAGCTTGTTGAAGCTGTTTTGACAGTCTTCCAGAAAACAAGGGATTAGTCACAATGGCTGTGCTCACCTTTTCCCTCTTCCTGGATTAGGATAAGATGCTATCAGCAGTGAAACTACCCAGGTTACCCTTCCTTTGAAGATGCACAGAGAATTTCATGCCTTAGTTCTGTGACTCTGGCACATTTCATTAGCACTAAGACTCTGACCTTGCGAAGAGCTGACCACTCCTGGGCGAGAGACTCATTGAAATTAGTGTGGCCTTTAGCCACTGTAATCTTTTTTAACTTACATTGACATACTCACACTGTCAGGATCTAAAGTCCTGAATGTTTTTTAAAGGAAAATTCATCTAAAGTAGTCGTCTGGGTTCCTTCTACGTTAATTTACCTATGTATGAAAACTGCTGATTTATAGCTATATTAGTATTAGATATAGCATGCCACTTTGCTTCTGCTTGACCATTACAAAATAGTTGCACTGCTTGCACTAAATGTTGAGAGATTTGTGTAATGAATAATAATTTTAAGGAATAATGACCAACATCTCTCCTTGAGTTACTAAAGCTATAGCCACTGAAGTGTAGAAAGGGGAAGTATAAATGGCGCTGCTGGAATTCTTTTGGAGGAGTGTTGCATTTTAGAGGTCTCAGTCTTCAGAAGCAAAACTACAGTACTCCTACATTTCTGGGTTCAAAGCAGAAGTACTTTTGTGTAACCCATCAGTGAGTGCATGTTACTAGCCTCCTTCTGTGCTGATCCATACAAAACATAAGGAGTTATACCTCCTAGCTAGCAAATCTTGGCTCAAGCTCAAATTGCAGCCACTCATCAAGATGTCCACTAATAAGGTGTCAGCTGTCACGTTGCTGGGAGGGTCACCAATAACCTTTCTTCCCAAAAGGCCCATTCCCGCAAGGTGCTGACTATCCATATCCACTCCCATTAGATCCTCAGGAGAAGAAAGCATGCTCAGAATGCTATGCTCCATGTCAGGAGGGTTGTAATTACTATTACTAATGAGGAGATGAAAGGCCTGATCCTTCTGAATTTTGACTTGTAGTAATGGCTTTCTCAAGAGAAATGGGATGATGTGAATCAGGTTTTGAAAGATTGGGCCCAAGAATGCTCTACTGTATTCAATCAACAGCATGGGAGTTGAGGTTGTTACTAATATTCCTATCCTTTCAGGGCTATTTTCAACAAACTGTGCTCTACTATGGTTTTTACACAAACTCTACCATCACAAAAATTGAAAACAACACATCTTATGACATGCAGCTGGCCTATATTTTCACTATTGGGATTTATTTTGTCATCTGCTTCTTTAGCTTGGTATACAGGTACAGTAACTGCATATTTCTATTGCACTTTGAATGGAGCAAAAAACGTCATTTTTGAGAGGCTACCAGTATTAGTAAGGACTCTTACTAGTACCAGTACTAGTAAGAACTGGGGGTCTTAAATTCTGGGGGCTGCTCTCTGCCCCTGTGTGACACAGGAGACTGGGCAAGATGGACCTATGGTCTGACCCTGTAATGGCAGTTCTTATATCATTGATCTGGATGAGTTGCTGCTGACACATTCCTGTTTGCAGTTCCTAGTAATAAGCAACCTAGAAAATTAAATGCCCTCAGTTATCGTGTCCAAAGCATTGTCAGGCCCATTCAATGAGGTGCAGAGAAACTGCAAAGCAACCAGAGCCCTATGAAAAATTTCAATTTGTGTCAATTTTATTTAATCTCTTGTAAATGCTGCTGTTTGTGACCCCTGCCAGTGGGTGCTGTGTTGAAATGGCTCTGCAGAGGCAACCACTGTTGACAATAAATGTGAAAAGAAAGCTAGGAGACCCTGAATTTGTAGAGAGATATGGCCATAAAGGGAACGGGAAGCATCTCTAACTGGACTCAACATTCATTAATCAAGAAGACTGTGATCTGAAAGGTCAACTCACTTTTTTCCCCACCATTCATTTCCTTAATACTGATGATGTGCATTTAATTTTCACTGCAGCATGGCAAAATCCTTCCGTAATAACTTTGTTAATCCTCAAACTTACTCTGGAAATGCTGGGAAACTTCTCTGCGTCTGGGATTTCAATATAACCAATGACAAAGCTGTGAGACTGAAGCAAAAAAACCTCAGCACACAAATCAAGGTAAAGAATTAAATGGGTTCTGTGTGAATAGACTTGAATCTGTGCGTTTCCCTAAAGGACTATTTTGGAGAAGCTGCTTCTTCCTGACCCTCTAGGTTGACTGCAGAAAGCTTTCGCTCTTGGTTGTGAGCTGTTTGTTCCCTTGGCATTTCTTAGCAAGTCATCTGAAAAGACTCTTTTCAGTCATGTTTATTTGCTCTTCCACACGACTCCCTAGAGTAATCACAGATATTTGCCAAGTTTCATTTCCTTGTTTCTCTGACCCATGTCAACAAGTTTTACCTTTTTAATCATAAGCAGGAAAGCAGCCTATTTTTCTTTGCTTGGTGTATTGTGAATTTAGTGGGAATCATCTCTGCACCTTATGACTGTGTCCCTGGTTCTGCCACTGCCGCGATGGCTGTTCCATGACTGAACTGTCCTGCACCTGTCATCTTTTTTTCTTCTACTTTTTATCTGTATCAGTTATTTTGTTTTGTATTGGATCACTGACATAAAGCACTCCTGGGAGTTGTGGCTGTAAGCGAAGTGTGGTGGAACCTGTATGAGAGATTTTCCCCCAGGTCCTTGTGTGGCTTCCAGTCTATCCCCCAAGTGTCAGGAGGACTATTCTGCACCAGCTTTCTTGAGAGATTGCCTCTTAAATCCTATAAGTGATCACTTCAGACAGGTGTTGCTTTGGGTTATTGACTGAAGCCTGGGCCTAATTATTACAGGAAGCCCTATCTGAAGGGAAGTCTGAAGATCTGAACCTTTCTGTAAAGCAAAGGATGGTTCATATTGCTATTCATCTGGCTGCTTGGATTTTTTCCTTGGGAACAACAGCTGCATGTTGCACCTGTGTTTACTACCTCTCCATTAACAACCTAAAGGTAAGGACCTGTTCTAGTAAACTAATGCTTTCCATTTCCACCCTGATCAACCTGGCCACACATTCAATTGAAGGTGCAATGGGAATCAGCCGTAAAGTTATTGCACATATTTTGTGTAATAACTTTGTAGCTTATTCCCTGTTTTTATTGCACCATTAATTGTATGACTGCATGGTCGGGTTATTACTTAAGACATGATTAACTGGTTAATCACATCTTAAGTGTAACATCTGCCAGGGACATAAGGAAGATGAGATTTAACCCAAACACTGTTGCCCTACAGCGCCTGACTCCACCCTTGTGTACAGGGAGGACCTGTACCCTTGAGCAGCCTTATAAGCCCACTTGTCTGCTCCATCTTGTGCCACAATAGCTACTGTATTTGCCAATATGCTCATAAACTCTTTAATAATTGAATAGTTAGTTTGAAGAAGCAAGCCCTTGGAGCCAACCAGGAAGGACTGCTTTTGATTTGGATTTTACTTGTTGCCTTTCATTAGATACTGGAAAGAAGAACAATGCAAGGCAGGAAATGCTGTCTCCTTCCTCATCCCTTGTGCAGTGAGGCCCCGGTCACATGCTTGGCTTCTGCTTCCTGGCCACATACCCAAGCAGCACAAGAGTTGATGGTTATATATCCAAGAGCGGCTTGGGCTTATGAGAGCTGAAAAGGTGTCTGCTAATAGCACCAGGATCTCTGAGACGAAATGGGCAGTGCAAAGTCCTCTGCAAAGATGCCTTTGATGAAAAGTCTGCCTCATATACTTTATTTTTCTTTCTTTTTTTAAGCTGTTCATGAAAGGTGATGGAACAGAGCTGGAAAACCAGGCTGCCACCCTTGTGTTGCCTATCGCCGTGTCCCTCCTCAGCCTCCTCACCCCTTTCGTCTTCTCTTTGCTTGAACTCCTAGAGAAATTTCAGTACCCCAGGAATCAGATATACGTCACTATTACCAGGTATTCAGTGCCCCTCACTCCCAGTTAGCAGTGGTTTCTGTCTGAAGTCAACTGCACTTTTTCTATTATCCGCAAGCTTGTAGTGGTATTAGGTACTACTGAAACCATCAGCCAACTCTGCACCAGGGGAGTTACAGTACTCTGTTCACAGGTCTTATGAATCCACCCCTAATAGTCCACTGGTGGCACAGCAGTGCCTCAGCCCAGGGTGAGGCAAATCTGTTGTTTTCCTCCCTTCCAGACATATAAGGAAACTCTAGGCCTGGCTCAGCCGACAGCATTCACCAGTGGGAACTGGGCTGTGGGCCCAAATGACAGGGAGATGGTAAATGGAGGGTGAGTTGGTTGGTTGGTGGTGGTTTTCTGAGGCCATGTATCACTAGCCAAGGGGAACCCCACTGTGCTTTAAAGCTGCCTCCTCAGGGGAGGACCAAGTAGATACTTCTGTCGTCCTTCCAAGAGGAATTTTGCATGTCTTGCTTCCAGTGCATTGAATAGACTTCACAGCACGGACTGTATAATCCAGATCAGTTTAAAACCAGTAGAAAAGAGTGGTGTGTGATTGGTAGTGGCTTCTCCAATGGACTCACCAACTACTGATATTCTTCTTCATAGAAATGTTATTCTAAAGATGTCTATAATTGGAATCCTCTGCTACTACTGGCTTAACATTGTGGCTACATCAGCAACAGAGGTAAGGTTTCACTTGCCCTGGTTGTGTACACATCTTTGCTTTAAAGATTGGGAAACAGACTTAACCATTTTCATAATATTGTGTATACATTGAGTGGTGTGTGATTGAATAAAGGACTCAAAAGTAGATCAGAGGCTATGTAAAAATAATACACTGCAGGGTGAAATTTGCTCCAGTACAAAAGGCCCCACACAGCCTCGTGAGAGAGCTGGACTTACAGGCTTGACCACCTTCTGTTGGATCCGTGAGTCTTTAGAGAAGCCAGGATGATGTGACAAATTTATTCAGCTAGCTTGGGCTTCATAGATCATTGTATTTTTGAACTGTAGCCTCAGACTCTGTCCTTCTTTCAAGAAAAATATAAACTAGAACCTTCAAAGAAGTCCGATCTAAAGGATCCTGAAGTGTTTCCCTTTCTTTTCAGTGGGCTTTGGATCAGATTTTCGATGTTCAAACATTAGACACAAATATTTGACTTAAATACATTATTTTTTCCTCTCTACAAGTGCTGGGAAACGTTAGTCGGCCAAGATATCTACCGTCTTGTTGTGGTTGACTTCCTATTTTGCTTGCTTGGCTCTTTCTTTGGAGAGTTTGTACGAAGGTAAGTGAGAGCTAGCATACCACACGCTGGGGTCCGTGCTGTGGGAGATGGGAGACAGGGAGGGGGAATCCTTGCTTGAGCAGCAAGGGAAGCCAGGCAGACCCTGCTGTGCCTGCAGCCTCCCAAAGAGCTCTGGCTAGGAAGGAGAGGGGTGGGGGCATTTCAACCATTAACAACTGATCACTTACAGGGTTATTTCAATGTAGTAAAAGGATGGTTCCAACAGAAACATGGCTCTGGCATGATTGGGATTGCCATCTATTTTCCTGTTTTGCTTTCATACATGTCTTTGTATATGTTTTTGGGCTTAATAGTTTTACAAAATAACTAACATGAGTGTAGTGAATATGAATTTAGAAGTATTTTGATTTCACTCGTTCAGAAAGTGATGCAAATATTTGATGGGGGTGTGTGTGTGTGTGTGAGAGGGACTGTGCACAAGTCAAACAGTCATTTGAGCAGAAGCTTTCTTTATTGGGGCTACCAGTTTGTTGAACTCTGCAATTCATGCATTGCTGGAATTTTAAACTAAGGTAAACTAGTTTCCTCAAAAAAAAGTATATCTCTATTTATATTTAGCTATTCCAGCCTTATGCTATAATTTTAGCTGAAGTGAAAAATGTTCTTTGACTTACGTCATCCATGCAGGATATTCACAAAAATTAGTATTTTACTACAACACCGGTGTTGTGTTGTAATTTTCCATTGCTGCTTAGTTGGCAAAAAGTTCATGCTTTGTATAAGACATAATTAAATGCTAATTCCTGGATAACTGGGATATTCAGGGGTTTCTCAGTTGCATGTTCTACAGCTAATGAATTTATGTACTTTTCAGAATTATTGGAACCAAATGCCTCAAAAACCTTGGTGTGCCAGAATTTGATATTGCACGAAATGTTTTAGGTTTGATCTACGTGCAAACTTTAACCTGGTAAGAGATGAATTATGATCTAAATATTGACTATTGCTAACAGAGACATTATGAATGAGCTTGAGGTAGGGACATACCAGTAATGTTTTGCAGAGCAGCTGACATGTAGTAAAGCCCAACTCCCTTTTACCCCTTCGTAAGTTATTCATATATCCACGCCCTAAGGATGCCTGCATACCACAGATAAGAACAGTACAAACATACTGGGCATATCTACGTGAGACATTTACTGGAGAACTGCCTAATTATCTCTGTAGTAACATCTCAGGTCTATACATATGTATTCCCTATTAGGCCTCAGGAAACTAATTAACTGTGCTGTAAGTTAGTACTTGTACATACGAGTACTGTCCTGCAGCAGCTTTCATTAGTGCACAGCAATGCACGTGTAGATGCTGACTTGGCTGGCTGTGGCATGAGGATGCTTCAGTGAAGGGCTACCTGCCAGGTAGCCCTGCACTAGAGCACATCTATACCCTAGCCAGCCCCTCCACAGCACCTGGAGCTGGGTAAGAGCATCCCTTGGCAGCCGGGGCTGCTCTGACGTGACTCCACATGCTCTGGTCCTGGTTGCACATGTAAATGTGGCACCCAGGGACAACAAACTCTGGCACAATACGCGCCACACTTATCGCGTTAATTTCACGTATAGATGCACCCATTGATAGATAAGATGCTTGTGCGTGCACGTGCCCTCTCCCTCTCAAAACTGTGACCTGAAGGCAAATTATTTTTTTATTGGTAACTCTTCTCTGTTCAAAAGTCGGCATAAAACTAGTAACAGTGATGCTCTGAAGGACCTATGCAAAGTAGTCCTCACTGAGCCACAGTTGAGAACTTGGAGCTGTAGAAGGGGCATTTTGGAGTGTTGAAGCTATGTCCTTCTTGTGTTCTTTGTTCTTGCTCAGTATTGGCTATTGGAAAAGTTTCTGAAGCCCTTCCACTTCTAATGAAGAGTGACAGAATGGAGATATATGTATGGAATTCCATATATATGGACATTCACACCTATACAAATATGCTGAGCATGTGCAGTATATATACTGAGCATACTCAGGTGTGGCACCAGCTGGTAATATTCTCTTGGAAAGCAAGAGGAAAACAAGATTTTTCTTCCCTATTCTGTTACTCTTCTTTAGAAGTGGGAGGGCTTCTGAAACTTATATATGGAATTCTACACACAGACGCACAGAAAATTCACCTTAAAAACAAACTAAATACATCTATAATATGCACATGCTTAGATACTGAGCAATAGAATATATATAATTTACCTGAAACGTGTGTATGTATATATAAAATACACACAATGCACATGTTCATTATATATTGAATGTGTGCATATGTGTGTATATTTTAGTTTCAGTTTTTATGGTGAATTTTCCATAATATCTGATTTAGGGGTTAGGTGGCAGAATGGTACAGGTGTCTCACTACAGCTCCAGAGGTCTTATTCTAGTTATGTGCTGAAGACTGTCTCCAACTGGCCTGGCTCTGAATGGGTATCTAGTCATGCAGTTGCAAACATCATGTCTCACCACTTTTTGGAGAATCAAAAGTGGTGAGACATGATTTTTGCAATTTGAATATAATAAGCATGTGCACCGTGTGTATTTTATATATACATACACATGTTTCAGGTAAATTATATATATATTCTATTGCTCGTATCTAAGCATGTGCATTTTATAGATGTATTTAGTTTGTTTTTAAGGTGTCGTGTCATGGGCTGCTGAAACTGGCACACCTATGCTACGCTAGGCTCAGATGGACTTTTACGCTGAATATCCCGATTCATTTATTGATATATTTTCATTTTTATGCAAATATAGAAGTGCATTCTACTTTCACATTGTGTAACGAATACCAAGGACCAAATTCTCATATTTTTGCATTTTTCCCCCTCTCCCTCTCTTCTTTTCTGTAGGATTGGCATCTTCTTTTCACCTCTGCTGCCTGCTATCCAAATGATATCTTTCTTTATAATATTTTATGTGAAAAAGGTAAGGAGCAGTTGTAAAGAACCAGGCCCTCTGCCTAATACAGCATCTCAGCAATAACATGTTCCCACTTCAGTTTTTAGCAGCTATGTGGAGACTTTACCTACCCAGTGAAATTTGACAGTTACTGTACTTGTGAATACACCAACAGAAAAACTTTTAGGGACAGACATTACATATAAACTGGTTTAAGTGATCAGAAACTGGTTTAAACCTGTAACAGAACAGAAGTTCAGTGCACATAAACATTTCAAAATGGCTGAAACTGGTTTAAGATAAACCTGGTTGAATGTAGTATCAGACTTAACTGATTTGGGTCAAACCAGTTTATTCAATTTCTGTCCCAGACCCCTTCCTGGTGTAAGTTAAACCAGAGTCTGCCAGCATCCCAAATGCTTTGCAGCCCTGGGCTGTGCTGTCTGCTCTAGAGAACAGGCTGGCCCCACCCCTCTCCTCCCTAGCCAGAGCTCTTTGGGAGGCTGCAGGCACAGCAGGGTCTGCCTCGCTTCCCTTGTTGCTCAAGCAAGGATTCCCCCCTCCCTGTCTTCCATCTCCCACTAGCCCCTAGACGTGTGGTATGCTAGCTAATGCTGAGAGGTGTGTATGTCTCCAATTTCACTGGGACAGGCAGACAGAACAGTGTCAGCTTAAGGCTTTTTGGAGCTAATCAGCAGGACAGCTGCTAATGTCCCTCCCTTCCTTCCTTGGAAAAAGCTGTTTAAGAAGAGCTTGAACTACTGAGACAGGCTTTTGTTTTGTTGATGGGCTAACAAACACAGCTGGTTATTAGCCCCCTGCTGGCTCCCTTGCCTGTCAGGTTTGCAGGCAGTATGAAGAAGCAGGGAGAGGGAGATTGAAAAGCTCAGTTGCATCAACAGATGCATGCACTGTACACCCCCACTCCCCTTTGCCTCGGAGTGCTAGCCCAGGGATGGGGCCTGGCAACACATCTGCCCCTTGAGAAGCGAGCGGGGAAAAGCCTGGGATGGTGCAGGCAGGGTAGGGGTTTAAACCCCTCCCTAATCAGAGCATCCTGCCAGGGCCTGGCCACCCCCCCCCCACCTCAGCTCAGCCCTGTGGAAGGGAGGGAGGGCTGCTCTACCATCCCGTGGCTTCTAGCCTGAGCCACTGCAGGCATGTGCCTGCATTTCTTCAGTCCAGAGGGAATGTCTTATTGCTTAC